CCTAGCAGTCTCAGTGGCCATCCAGGTGTCAAGGAACTGAGGTTCAAGAGGTTACCGATAAGAGAAAAAGAGCCCAGGCTTTTCTTGTTAGAATGATAATGTCCCAGGGATCATTGCAAGTTGCACGGGGTCAGTCAAAGCCTGTGACTGATCAGAGCTGTCAGGACCAATCTACTTTCTGATGCTTCTTGGGGCTCCAGATCTAGTGGGTTCCTTAAATTTTTTTTTTCCCAAGAATCTTTCTCCCTCAGAATAGAAATCTGTGGGGCCAGGGATTTCACTCAGTGACACTGTGCCCTCCTCAAAGAGCACACTCAGGACCAGAGTTCGATCCCTGGTAGGTACCAAAAAAGAGAATAGACTTTTGTGGGTAGAGTAGCAGCATATGGTAGTTTTCAAGTTCCTCAAAGAAGAGATCCACAAAGGATCCCCAACCACCACTTCCACTAGGAGACTAGAAATGAAGTTTTCTTTCTTTCTTTTTCTTTTTTTGTATCAGGGATCAAACTCAGGACCTTACGCTTGCCAGACAGGTGCAGCACCACTGAGCCACATCCGGGGCCTAAGAAATAAGGTTTTCATATCCTAGTCCTGTGGTGCATTGACTATGTGACCCCTCAAAGCCTCATTTCTTCACCCGCACAGTGGAGATTGGGCCCTTGTCCCCACAATGTTGTTAGGAGGATTACATCTGATGACAATGATAGTTACTGCTAATTTTGGTTTTTAGTTTTTTACTAGTGCTAGATACTGTACGTGACCTTTGTGTTGTCACACTGAGTCCTCCTAATAGCTCCACTGGGAGAGGTTTTATCACCTGCCTTTAAAGGTAATGAGATAGGTTACAGCTGTTGCCAGTGTCATGCGGCCAACCCGAGACTGGGATCCCGCCATTCTACATGGGAGTATAGCTTAGTGCATGGCAGGCAAAAGTGCCCCACAAAGGCTGCCCTTTTTTCACCAGCTGGGGCTGTAGTACCAGGCGCCCGTGCTCTGGCTGACCTCCAGGATTGGCCTGTGACAGCCAAGCAGTCAGACCCTTCTAATTCCTTCCTGTCCTGAGTCCAGAATCTACATTTTTACAAAAGTTCAGGCTGGAGCAGATAGAGGTGGCAAGGCCAGCATTGCCCTGTCACTCTAGCTACCCTGTCGTGCTGGCCACACAGAGCTCAGCCCTGGTTGAAGGCTCAGATCCGAGCCTCCCCAGAGAAGCTAAGTGGCCAAGTTGCCCTCCGGAGACTAATTCTGTCCTCCCTGTTCCCTTCACCCTACACACCAGTACCAGCTTGCATCAAAACAGCAGGGGGTCTGGGAGGTCGGCCCAGGTGCCACTGGGACATGCACGACTCACATCCAAAGAAAATGATAGTGTGAGATCATTCATTATAATATTTAGCTCCCAGAAGAAACCACTGCAAGCCCCATCCAAACCACAGACAGCTTTGGCAGCCCCGGTATCCTCTTACGGTTACATAAGCTTAGCAGGGAAATAAATACCAACTCATCTCGAAGGAATTTTAAGGGCTAATAAACCTTAACCAGTCTGTGCAGAGAGGGCTCCCTTCCAAAGGAGGGACTGCGGTTTTAGAGAGGAAGGGCTGAGAGGGCTCCGGGCAGGGGTAGGAGGGGGACCTTGCCAGCCCAGCTGTGCACGGTCCTCAGACAGGCTCAAAGCCGAAGCCTCACTTGGGAGCAGACAGTGCCAAGGCCAGCCATGCCCCAGGCCACCTCCTTCTCACGTACCATCAAGATCCACTCTCCAGTCCTCTTACAGGTAGTGAGTTCCCCATGGCTGGAGGTGTTCAAACATTCAGACAAACTCCATGTTCTAGTTCTAAGGCATTATTATTATATTGCACTTTTCAGATACAGGAACTTGCCCTTGGCATCAACAAAAGGCAGATAGTATCAGAGAAAGAATTTGCATCCAGTCTGAAGACCTGTTATGTTATGCTAGCAGGGTGACCTTGGGCAGATTGCTTTTCTTTTCGTGCTTCAGTGAGAGAGGCATAATTATTTTCCTCTGCCTCCTGCACCTGATTCCTGCAAGGAGCAGATAAATTGCAGGTGTGTGAAAATTGCTTTGCAAATTTCAAAATGTTTTGCCAACAGTTAGATGCCACAGACACACCAGCTGCTGAGCAGGGGTGGTGGCTTTCTGTCTGTGGTGTTAGGAAAAGTACCAGAAGCCCAGCCTGACCATCTCTCTGTGGTCGGGTTCTTTCAGGGGAAGTAAATCAAGTGTGTCAGGGTTAGGGCTGTAGATTTTGAATCAGTCTCTTTCACTTCTCTGTGCCTCATCTGATATTTGTGTAACAATGGAATCTATCTTGGAGAGTTATTAAGAGGATTAACAAGTGCTTAGAGCACTATCTGGCACAAACAAGCGCTATAAGGCTTTGCTGTTCTTATTAATATATTACCCAGCTAATTAGGCTAATCCTCTCTACTAGTCACTATCGCTAATTGGGCTGGTGGAATAGAATGCAAGAGGCAGAAACTTATAGAAGATAACCGAAAGAACCCTATAAGCCAGACGCTGAGCTATTTACATAAATTATCCCATTTAATCTCCAGCAGAGTCCTTTACGGCAGTAGTTTTATTATTCCCTTTTTATAGGAGAGGAGACATTTTTATTGTTCTCATTTTATAAGAGAAGAAACAAAGCATCAGCAAAGCTACCTGACTTATCTAAGATCACAGAGCAGTTAAGTAGTGTGGTCAGGGTTTAAATGAAAGCAGTCTGACACTAAGGATAATTCTCTTAATTTATATGAGCCTTGGGGTATTACTTAGGCCTCTGAGAGGTGCAGCAGGGTTGGATCCTGGTGACCTGAGACCTTGAAGTGAGAGGCTAAAACAAAATAAAAGGGCAGCTGGGCATGGTAGCACACACCTGTAATCCCAGGACTCAGGAGGCTGAAACAGGAGGATTGCTGGGAGTTCAGGGCCAGCCTGAACTACATAGTAAGACCTTGTCTCAGAAAAATAAGTAAGTAAATGAGCAGGTGATGTGTCATAAATACATGAGGACCCCTGGGCCACACACCAGGCCTGCCTGTTCACAGGGGTCTTGGTGTCTCTGGCTTCCAAAGAGAAGGGGCTTACCTTCAGGCCCAGGTAAGAGTGAAATGTTTCACTACAAATGTCAAATGCAAGAAGAAATTGATCCCATCAGAGCTCTCCCCTTTCTCCCATCTGTGGACAGAGTTTGGGGGACAAACTCCCTGAGTCTGGGCAGGTAGACCAGATGCCAGGAGGTGAAGTGCCCACTCCTCTGAGGCCAGGTTCAGACAGCTAATGAGTAACTGGGCTCACTGACATGCAGCCTGTGTAACCGAGGCCCTGACAAGGTTAAATTATTCTGAAGACATCAGGGTTGGGAAAAAGAGCCCCAGCCCCAGAGCTGGCAGCCACATTCCCAGAGTGCCAGGAACTACTGGAGCCCCTGGACTGCACTGCTCTCTCCCCACAAGAGCAGAGGTCTTCCCAGGTCCTCCAGCAAAGATCTGATTGATCCTGGACATTAAAGGCACTTGCTTTGTCTGTGCCCCAAACTTCTTGCAGGCCCATAGTGCCCATAGGAGAAATAGAATCTGCTTGACCCTCACTCCCTAGACTTCTTTGCTTCCCAAAGCACAGAGGCTGAGGATGCCCTGGAGAGGTGAGGGCTCCCAGCCTGAGCTTCTGCAGATCTAATAGTATAATAGGCTCAGCCAGGAGAAGGCTACAGCCGGAGGAGCCCTAGCGGACAGTTGAAAGTGGAAGCCTTTGCAAAATCTCAAAGTGTTGCAGCCTTGAAAATCTTTATTTGCCTACTCATTCTCCAGCAGGCTCTGAGTTGCGAGTAAGGGTCTTCTTTCCTGACCTGGGAAAGATCGCCTGCCAGGAGGCTCACAGTGCAGCTGAGCTGGGAACTTCTCAGCTCACCCAGCTCGCAGCAAGGAACTGGCCCCACAGGGCCTCCCCATGCAGCAGGCAGGCAGCTGGTAGTTTGTTTTATGAATATCCAAAATACACGAGGAACCGCAAAACCACAAGGGGCTGTAGGCAGGCAATCATGAAGAAGGCTGAGGCTGGGGGAGCCACTGTATCTTCCTCCTGGGCCGGGCTCCCGCTGAGCTCCCTGGGTGATGCCACACAGGGCAGAGCAGCAGTGGGCATCTGCTTTCTGTCCACCAGGTGTGACTGACTTCCGAGGCCTCCCTCAGCCTGCTCTGAGGGCTGGAGACCCTTGCTTTCTCCCCAGCCAAATTTGAGAGTCGGGGAGGAGGGGTGGTCCCAGACGAAGCCCAGAGACTGAGCAACCACTGAAGCCACTTGGAACCTTCTCAAAATACCTGGAGTCTTTTGACTGCCTATTGCTAAATTCAGACTACAGGGAAGAATTCAGGAAGTTGGAGGACTCTGATGGCTAAAGAATGATAAGAAAGAGTAGTAACAGTTTCTGAAATCGTCTTTTTTTTTTTTGGTACCGGGGATCGAACTCGGGTCCTTGCGCTTGCAAGGCAGACCACCGAACAAAATTGTCTTTTTTCATTGAACGTAATGTTGTAAACGTTTCTTTGTCAAGGAGATAAGAGTTGTATTGCATTTATTTTAATGATGGGGGATATTTTCATGTGCCTTTTCCAGCTGTTGGGTATGGAGGGTGCATGTAAAGGGCGATCAAACTATATGGTCAATATTTAAATAACTTATTACAGTAAAAGACACATTCCTGGGCCAGGGATTTAGCTCAGTGGTTCCACCGCCTGCCTCACAAGCACAAGGTCCTAAGTTTGATCCCTGATACAAAAAAAAGAAAGAAACAAAGAAAGAGTCATATTCCCATTTATCCTCCTCAAAATACTGCCCTTCCCTTTGAACCCATCATTCTTGCGTTCCCTACAGCAATTCTACAATTGCTTTATAATTCTAGAATTATGAGTGTCTTTACAAGTTGTGATGAAAAGAACACTGGGAACCTCCTCTGGCGAGCGCCGTCCAATAGAAAGACAGGCTCAGAAAAACACCACTGCGTGTCCTCATCCAGCAGATCTGACCCCGTGCAACTGCTGGCTTTTGTTCCAAGTTAAAGTTACAGTCAAAGGTAGGCATTTTGAATCGATTCTGGACTCTGAGGCAGCCGTGAAAGCCCAACTAAAGATACTCATGAAAGGACTTCCGGAGCTGCTTCAGAACGTGGCAAGAATGGCGGGTTAAGTGTGTTCACAGAGAGGGGAAGCATTTGGAGGGAAATTAATGGCACTCTAGGTTTTACTGCAGTAAACTTCAAGATATTCAAGCATTCTTTATTTTTCTGGTCACATCTCACAGGTGTGGGCAGACGGCTGAACCAGTGGAGTTAGGGATTCACCCCCTCACTTCAGTGTTCCCTCTGTGCATCGTTCTCACGACAGTACAAACCCTAAGGTCTCAGTTTAGGTGCTATCTTCTGAGAGTCGTCCCTATTTTGTGATTTCATTGTCCCATTATTCTTGGGTTTTTTGTTTGTTTGTTTGTTTGCTTGTTGTTGTTGTTGTTGAGACAGGGTCTCACTATGCAGTTGAGACTGACCTGGAACTCACTACGTAGCCCAGGCTGGTCTCGAACTCACAGTGATCCTCCTGCCTCAGCCTCCAGAGTGCTGGGATTACAAGCGTGCGCCGCCACACCCAGCTCAAGGGTATACTCTTACATGGACCTTGAGCTTATGTTCAAGTCTCTACTTTTAGTCTTACTATTTATTATTTATGTAGTGGGAAGATGGATGTGTGGAAAACAGTAACCAATAAATGAGAACATTCAACAAATGGTCTTGAAATAATTAAGACACCAATAGATGAAACAATGAATCTTGCACTAAACTTTACAGCCTCTATTACAAAAGTCAACTCAAAATGATCATTGATCTAGATGTAAAATACAAAACTTTTGGAAGAAAACATGGGAGGAAATCTTCATAATCTAGAGCTTGGTGACGAATTCTTAGACCGGACACCAAAGTCACAATGCACAGCAAAAAATAATCAATAAACTGGGCTTCAAAAAATTTAAAATTTTGGGGGCTGGGGATTTATCTCAGTGGTTCTGCTGCCTGCCTCATAAGCATAAGGTCCTGAGTTTGATCCCTGGTACCAAAACAAACAAACAAACAAACAAACAAATAAATGTATGTTTGCTCTGTGAAAGACCTTATTAAACCACAAATTGTGAGAAAATATTTACCAGTCACATTTCTGACAAACGACTTCTATCCAGAATGTAAAAGAACTGTTTGAATCCAGCATGAAGATGATAATCCAATCAAAGATCAGAAAACAGGCAGCTAAAACCCCCACAAAAAACCCAAAAACTTCAATAGATACTTCGGCAAAGAGAATATACAGATGGGAAATGAACATAAGAAAAGATGTTCCCCCTAGCTAACGGGAAATGCAGATCCAAACCACACGACGCACCACCATATCTTATCATGGCAGCTGGAAAGCAAATACTGACTAGATTGCATGCTAGAGAGGACGTGGAGAAACTGGAGCTCTTACCTGGGGGTGGTGGGAACGGCTGGTGGGCCCACTCTGGAAATTAGCTGAGAAGTGTCTGAAGAAAGTAAACGCACTTACTATAATAGGATCCAGCTATGGTGCTCCTGGGCACTTATCCTAGAGAAAGGAAAGCTTATGTTCACACAAAAGTCTGTACGTGAATCTTCAAACCAGAGTTATTTGTAAAAACCAGAAAGCTGCAAAAACCCAAATGTCCTTCAGTGAGCGAGTAGATGAGCTGTGGTACCCTCCACCGTGCAACACTACTCAGCAATGAAATCCAGCACATCCAACAACTTGGTGGATCTCGAGGACTCTCAAAAGAGTCCCTAGGGCCGGATGTAGCTCAGTGGTACAGCGCCTGCCTCACAAGTGTGAGGTCCTGAGTTTGATCCCTGGTACAGCAAAAAGAAGGGGGGGGTCCCCTACTGTATGATTCCATATTTTCAAAATGACACAATTATACAGATGGGGAAAGGATCTGTGGTTGTCTGGGGCCAGGGGTAGGGAGAGGCAGTCACTTGACGGTGACGATCCAGTTTTGTGTCTTGATTGAGTGGCAGTCATACAGATCTGTGCAGGTGGTAAAATTTTGTAGAACTATAAACACACACACAAGCGCATGTAAAATCTAAGAAAGGTCTGTAGCCTATTAATAGTGCTGCACTATGTCAATTTAATGATTGGTGGGTGTGCTTTCTATAAAATGTCACTATTGGGTACGCTCGTTGAAGAGTACAAAGGATGGAAAAGGCCTCTTGGGCTATTTTCACAACTTATTGTATACCTATAATTATTTTAATATAAGAAGCTAAAAAAAATAAGCAAGGCAGCTCCAAATATGTAGAATAAATGTTAGCAGCGGTGAGCATCCAGGGGAGGAACGACACTCATTCAGTTGGGAGTGGTCGAGAAAAACTTCAGCTCAACTGGCGTTTATTAAGCACTTATCCCCTGTTGCATAGCAGGCATCACACCATGCACGAAAGGGATTCAAAGCCGTTAGTCCTACTCTGAAGAAGTTAGGGCACAGGGAGGAGGAATGGGGATGTGGGGAAGTGGCCACTGGAGGGGTCTGGGCCCCAGCAGACCCACTGCAAGCTGGATCTTAACCGTTTATTACTTGGACCCCTGTGGCCATCTAACTGGGGAACTACGATAACCCTTTAGGTCTTTGAATATCAGTGTCAACGCAGACCCTGTGTCCAATAGTTCTCAAACAGGTAGGCACAATAATCCCAGATTTCCAGTGTAAAGTGGCCGTGGGTCCTTTGTGGGAAGTGCAGGGACATTACATGCCAATAAGGGGGTTATTACTTGCTGTGGCATTACAGGATCTCTTTTTGGAGACCTCTTCAGTCAGTGGCTTCCATGTACAAAAACTGGCTTCAGTCTGAACACTGGGCCAGGGATTATATCTTGTGACTGGGCCTTGATCTTCTAATGATCTCTCTCTCTCTCTGATTTCTAGAATCTGCTGCTGCAGGTGGAGTAGTACCCTTAGTGACTCTCCATCTGTAGTCGTGTGTTCCACTGTGATGTTTCTGTCAGTGAGAGACAATGATATGACAATGGTTCCATCAGATTTTATTGCCTAGGAACGACGTACCCGTATTTGTTTTTAATACACTAAATGATATTTGCACAATGACAAAGTCTCTGTATTAGCCAATTTCCTGCTGCTATAAGGAAATACCTGAGACTGCCTACTATATGAAAAAGATTCTTTAGCTCACAATCCTACACTGGGCGGTCCCATTCGTTCAGCCTGTGGCAAAAACCTCCAAGTACGTGGCATCATAGTGGGGGCACACACGGGGTGAAGAAATCACAGGGCAAGACAGGAAGCCAGCGAGCAAGGAAGGGCCAATATTGCTCTTTGATTACAAGTCTCTTGTAAGGACACAAGAACTACATTAATTCCTTCCAAGGGCAGTGTCCCTCATGACCTAATTATTTCCCACCAGGACCCACCTCTTAAAATTACATCACCTCCCACATGGCCACACTGAGGACTAAGCTTCCCGCACATGGATGTGTAGGGATCAAACACAGCATCACGTTTCTCAAACATTTCCCCATCGTTAAGTGACCATATGTTTGGCCTTCTGGACACTGCAGGAAAATAACTGTCACCTTAACTTTCTATCTGCACCTTTGGCTACCACTTCCGTTTTGCCAGCCATTATGATCATTTTGGCTCCCTGGTCTCTAGAGGTCAAATCACTCCCTGCTGTCCTCTATTGTTTGTGGGGGGGTCCCACCATCACCATCAGGGAGCCAAGTTCTAGAAAAGCCTGCAGAGGAAAGTCATCACTGTCACTGAGTGACACTGGCACCCCTTGTAGCACATCCCTTACACCCTTGGTGAATGCTGTGTCCTCTGAGTCCTTCCGCGGAACAGATCATTAAACAGATGTTCTGGCTGGATGTAGTATCCATTTCAGCACACCCGCTTCCTCCACTATCTGCCAGGCCAATTCTGAAAGTTCAGCCTTGTTCAGCATGACCTCACTTCCTCCATTGCCAGGAGCATGCAAGGGTGAGTTAGGACCATCTGCAGGGCCCTTGCAGAGGATCGTGCCACTGAGGGCCAGTGCTCCCTGGCCAATGGCATCAGACCCAGGCCATGTGTGCTCCTCTTGCTCTGTACTGTGTGGTTCAGTCCTCCTGCCTGTGGAGGCAGGGCCTTTGCAGTGTTGTCCTGCCCAGGGAGAATGCTAGCTCTTCTCAGCTTTAGCTGTTCAGAAGGTCAGGCCAATCTGGGAATCCACAGACTTCTGAGGTATCTTTGTAGATGTTGCCAACCTATATGTCGGGATTCCAGATTTATCCCACCAGGGTCTTGACCTTGGTTAACAGAACCATTTACCCATTTCTTTTTCATTGAAGTTCAGTCACTTGGACTATGGAGTCCTGGGTTTACATTTCTGCCTCACACTGAAGGACATTAGAATTTGTGTGCAACAAAGAGGCCTGGCTTTCATTTGTCTCTAGCCATCTCCACCTTTGTTCATATAGCTACTCTCAACTCCACGTCGAGCCCCTCACGCATGTCCCTGCTCAGCCACCGGGGGAATTACGGTTGGGCCACCACTTTGTCCCACTCTCGGCCCCGTCAGGAGAGATCCAGGTCCAAACCCTACCTGATCAACTGCTTCCTTGGGCCATTTTCTCAGCCAGCGCTGAGCGGCTGGGTTCTCCAGAAGCAGACAGTGAATCAGAACTGGGTGCATGATATTTAAGGACATCAACACCTATGAAGAGCAGGTGGCAGGGAAAAGATCTGGGCAGGAAGCCATCAACTGCAGGGCAGACCCATCACGTGCAAGGCCATGCCAGAAGGGCGCGGGGAGTAAATGGCTCACGAGAGCTGTCTGGGTCTTATGGTGGCCAGGTCTTTTTCCCTCACCTCCCCTGGCCACCAGGTGTAGGCTTCCCTGAGGAGGACATGACTTAGGCAGGGTGACTCCTCATTACCGAGCCAGTACCTCAGGGAATCAACAGCTAGCAGCAGTCTGCTCATGGCCCCACAACCCGACAGCAGGTCTCGCCCTGACAGGAGAGCTGCCTGATGAAGTCAAAGCCATGCTGGTTGATGAGAAACTTACAGAGATTGAAGAGTGGGCGGGATTTCAACATATATAAGAGGAAAAGAGAAGGGAGAAATCTCAATGGGAGAACGCACCCGCTGGCTGCCCAGGAGAGGGCAGAGCGAGAGGTTCCCTCGAAAAGGCAGGTCAGATGGGGGCATCACATGGGGGAAGCTGTCTTTCAGGTCTGGGACATGATCCGGGAGCCCTTGTTCAGTTACCTTTCAAGGGCCAGCAGCCTGATGACACTCGCTATCCATTTGCTTCTCTCCCTTGAAAAACAGCCGTGACTGTTCTCCCTCATCCATCCCACAGAGATTCCTGGAGCCATCCTCCGAAGAGGGTTCCCAGCAGTGCCCTGGATTGAACCAAGGAGCTAGCAAAGCTCCTGGGAGGAACAGCTAATATGTAACATCTCCACGAAGAAAGGAGATAATCTGGGCGTGGTGGCACACACCTACCATCCCAGCACTCTGGGAGGCTGAGGCAGGGGGACCCAACCTGGGCAATTTAACAATTTAGACCTTGTCTCAAAAAAAAAAAAAATTTTTTTTTTTTTAAATTAAAAAAGGGCTGAGGATGGAGCTCAGCTCAGTGTGAAGGCTCTGGGTTCAATCAGAATAACAGGAAAGACAGAGGGAGGGAGGGCGGGAGGGAGGAAAAGAGAAGAGAAACAGAGAGGACCCGTCCCTTAACGCCCTGCAGAAGTCCTGGCATTCTCATCAGATCTCTGCTCAGGGTAGGTCAGGCAAGAGGGGTGTCCACATGCTCTCCCCTGCCTGAGGGGCTGCAGACAGAGCCCTGGAGCACACCCACCTCTAGGGAGCAAAAGACCAAACCACTGGGGTGCAGCCTCCCTGTATGGTTAATGACACAGGCTCTTCAACCTATGCTGATAAATCCACTGTAAGTTGAAAATCTCATAAGCTAAAGATGCTTTTAACACCCCTAACCTCCTGCGGCCCCTGGCTTAGCAACCGTGCCGAGAGTCAGTGGCTTCCTTCCTGGTCTAGTGCCTGCGTGGGAGCTGCCCTGCCTGCTGCCCAGATCCGGAGAGAATCATGCTGCGTGTCACTAGCATGGCAAAAGATCAAGTTCAAAAGTCCAAGTCCAGCTTCTTCTCAGTGCACCTCACTGTCACACTACTGAGAAGCAGAACTCGTCACGTCGGAACACTGTAAGTTGGGGAACCTATGTATGTAAACTAGCAGAGGGACACGGGACTGACAACGGAGCCATCTGTGTCTGAAATACCCGCTTCACTGTCCATTTTGAGGGTTCTCACAGAGCAATAAGGCACCCCTGGTTTAAGAAGAAACCAACAAGGGTTTTCTTTTTTAGTGCTCGGTTTTATTTTTTTCCACTTTTTATTTGTGTCTATCCGTTATGCAGGTGGCTGGATCTTGTTTGGGCAGATTTGCACATGTATAAAACATACTCTGACCATCCCTCATCACCTCCTTGCCTCCTTTCCCCCTCCAGCTTCACATGTAACGTGTTTTGATCACACTAACTACCCATCATATCACCCCGCCCTCTTATTCCCTTCCCCCAATCTGATTTTGATTGTTCTTGAATCTAGACACATTCACAATTCCCATCAGCACCCATTTCCCCTGTTCTAATTCCCTTTGAGAAGTGACCATGGTCAGTGTCTATCTTTATAAATATGTGATGATGCACGTACATTTCTGTATGTGTGGAAATGGAAATAATTTTTATGGACGCATTCTGGAGGGGCTGTGGTAAGGACGTGGTCTTACTAAGTTCCAGGCTGGGCTTGAACTCACCGTCCTCCTGCCTCAGTCTCCACACGAGTTATCACGTTCAGCTTGAAGAAGACTTTTTTTTTTCAGACAAGGTCTCACTATGTCGTTCAGGCTGGTCTTGAACTCACTTTGCAGTGCCCAGGCTGGCCTCAAGTCTCAGTGATCTTCTTGCTTAGCCTCCTGAGTACTGGGATTGCAGGTGTGTGTCACAACATCCAGCTAAAAGCATTTCTTAAAAGTAAATCTCAACAGGGCTGGGGATTTAGCTCAGGGGTTATGCCATCTGACTCATAAGCACAAGAACCCGAGTTTGATCCCTGGTACTAAAAAAAAAAGTAAATCTCAACTACTTGGGAGGCTGATGCTGGAGAATCGAAAGTTCAAGGCCAGCCTGAGCAACTTAATGCAACTGTCTCAAAAGCTCAATATTCCCTGGGTTCAATCTTCAGTACCATTTTAAGAACTAACTGTCCATCATACCCTAAACTTGCACTTTTCACACACCAGTGTGTCCTGGAAACTCCCCATATCAGCAGCGTAGTAGCTTTGTAATGGATCTGCTTGGGAAGGCTGAATCCCATTTTTCAGAAAACCCTGCCCGTATGGAGCCAGCGAGGCTGTACCGAAACGCTGCGACTGGACCTGGCCTACGGCTGCTTGTCTGCTGGCCGTAGCTACTCCGTCTCCCATTCTCAGCTACTCCTGTGGAGCCCACATCTCATCAGCTGGAGGTGGAGCAGAGACCTGTGAGTGCCCGCTGGCTCCTGCTCTCCCCTACTCTATATCCCGCTACTCTTCTTGCCTGTCCTGTGGACCCCAAGCCCTGGAGAAGACATCGGCTTCACCAAGACGGTTGAGCCAGCTCCCCGAGCTGTGTAAAGTGCAGCCCCCGTCACACACACGTGTACACACACACGTGTACACACACAGGAGACCTCCTAGTGCTTCCATGTCTCTAAACTCGAGCACAGAATGTTGCTTCCTTCCTTTTTTCTTCATAACAGCCATGGAAATGCCTCTCTCCCACTGAGGTACCTTTGTGAGTTACACATCATTTTGTCAGTCCGACAGACCGTGCAGCAATAAACACCCTGGTTCGTGTTTTTGTTTGTTTGTTCGCTATATCTGTTATTAGTTCACCAGGGCAGAGAAATAAAAGAGATGACAAGAAATGTTTGCACATTTTCCAACTTAGTTGGGTCCTAACTGCAGGGAGTCTACGTTTCCTTAGAGGCGACCAAAGCGGGAACACTGACGTGGTAATTTTGGTCTTTTCTCTAGCAAGGATAGAGCAGTCTCATCTGGCAGCAATCAGTCAGGTGAAGGACCTTCCCGGGGCTCAGCAGTGGTGAGCTCTAACATACACCCAGCACGGGAAACCCTAGGCTGGACAGTGTAAGGCACACAGGAAGCGTGGGGCATCGAATTAGCAGACTCGATTCTTCACTGCCCCTTTACGGCAGTTCACACACCCATAGCTTTGCTGTGTGGGCTTCCTCCTGTGGCCTTGGGCTTGACCTTGTGACTTGCGCTAGCTAATTAGATACTTCAGATGGGCAATGAGCAGAAACCTGAAATGTGAGTGGGCAGTGGGCTTGCCTTGCTTTTGGGCCATGAAAATAATGTACTTCAGATACCTGCTGATCCAAGGCAAAAGAGAGACGTGGTGCAGATCTAAAATCGACCCACAGGCCAGAGCAGAGGCCAATCAAAGCGAGCCGAGCTCCAGGAGCCCCAGCTGGCCAGAGCCAGCTCACAGTCACACATAGCGTTTAATCATCGCACGTCTTTAGTCTCCCTTAGTTTGGAACAGGCTGGTAGCCCCCAAGATCCTGCCACTTTTGAAGATTACAGGTCAGTTACGCTGTGAAATGTCTCTCAGTGTTGTGGTGCAGTCGTGTGTCTTTGTCAAGAGCATCTGGAAGCGATGCTTTGTTCTTACTGCGTCCTCAGTAGCTGCTGATTTCCGCCTGTCCCGCTGCTGGTCATGCTCACTTTGGTCACCTGATTGAAGTGACGTCTGCCAGACTCCTTCACTGTAAGCTTACTCTTGGCCCCCTTGAAATAGGCATTATTGTGGAAAGAATTTTGGAACTGTGGAAATGTTCATTTATATTAGTGTGGAGTCATGGTTTCCCAATTCAGCCTGTAGGCAATAACCCATTAACTTTGGGGCTGGAGTGAGGCTTAGTGACACAGCGCTTGCCTAGCATGCATAAGGTCCTGGCTTTGATCCCCAGCACATCCGTTCCGTTGTCTCCTAGAAAACCTTTTTTCGTTTCCCTGCAACTGGCAGAAGATGGCAATGATGGCCCCATGGCTCCTGGGTTGCATACTCTTGGGCAAAAGACTAATGAAACCGATTAGTATCTGATTCCCTGGTCCGAAGTCCTGGAAGAGGAGAGCTGAATTGTCCAGTGGGAGTCAGTAGTCTACCTCTATACCTTGGAAGATTATAGGTCTATAGCTAGGGGGACAGGGATTCATAGTACAAATTTGATTCCTAAGCCCATCTTTGATTGACTGATTTCATATGTTTGGAGGTGGTCTTGCTATATGTAGTCTATACTGGCCTCAAACTTGCTATGTAACTCAGGCTGGCCTCAAACTCACAATCCTCTTGCCTCAGCCCATTTTTTTTTTTTTTTTTTGTACCGGGGATTGAACTCGGGTCCTTGCACTTGCAAGGCAGGCCACCGAACCGCTGAGCTAAATCCCCAGCCCTCAGCCCATTCTTGATAGGAAGCTGTGCCTATTAGGAATTAGCAAGCCAATGGGCTAAGGAGACACACCCCAAAAGAGTCACCTATCACCCATTATAGGCAAAGGACGGAGCAGTGGCTATGAAGTACACAGAAATAGACATGACATCATCTGTGCCCTCAAGCTAACAATCTCTGAATGGAAGAAAATGGTTCAAGACAGCATAGACCCAGTGGCAAAAGCTCTGAGAATTACCTTGGAGAACTAACCCTACCTATCCCAGGTACTGATCAGCAACACCTCCATTCCCAGCACAGAGCTGCTGGTGGAATCTGGTTACTCAGCAGTGGGAAAAGCAGGCCCAGTCAAGGCCCCTGACCAACACTGTCCTCTTATTCTGCTGGCCCTGGGCCTCTCCAGGGACCAGGAGCCCTCACCACTGATTTATGGCTTGTGCAGTCAGCAAAGTTAGATCTCTGTGGCTTTGTTTTTATAGTATTGCTTATCTAAGACCTGGCTTCATACCTCAGACATATAAATCTGTTAGAGGGTGTTATATTGCCCAAGAGGTCTTCCCAGGTAGGCAAGATTTTATTCTCATCTATAGATTCTTTCAGACTCCCTAAACCTGATTTCCTCTCATGCATGCAGGCTCTCTACTGACTGGAAAAGCTCAATTGTGGCAGCAGACCTGGTAGACAGGAACTGTCTCCTTCCTGAAGCCCTTTAATGTTTACAAGACCCCCATTTGCCCACAAAATTTAGAGGGTCACTCTTGGCTATCTACAAAGGAATTCTGCTAAGACCCACCTGCTCTAGTTAATTCTCCCATCTCTACAACCTTGACCAAAGGGACATCATAATAACAAAACAGAACTGGGATCCTCTTACAACTGATTCTAGTTGTCACTCAAATCTTACATGGCTAGAACCACATTTGCAGTCTAAAGCAATATGTTGCTGAAGCAAAGAAGGAAGTGTTATGCACGTTCTTGAAATTCCTGTTCATTTCCCTCTTTCTTTGTGAGTGTTGTTTAGCCAGAGGAAAGCTGTAGCATTTGTTCTAGGGATGAGCAGGGCCAAGGCTGAAGATTTAGTTCATGTGGCTGAACCAGCAAACCTTGGAAAGCCTCCCAGCTCCAAGCCAAGCAGCACAATCCCCGCACCTTTCTCAAGAGCAGCCTGCTTCCTTTAGGGTAGGAGAAGGCTGCGCCAGGCTGGGTCTTGGGAGGAGGAGGCTCATGGGATGAAATCATCTGTTTTGAGGGCTCATTCCTTTGCTTTAGGGACCATGGATGGTGTTTACAAGAAAATACTAAGACAATGGGAGCGCCTTGTTTTCCTCTGCCCGTTTACTCTAGATCAGCACTTCCCAGAATGGGTTCTATGCAACATTAGTTCTTTGAAATGTTCATCAAAACAGTTTGGGAATGGGCAGGGGATTAAGCTCAGTGGTTCCGCCACCTGCCTCAAAAGTGCAAGGACCCGAGTTCGGTCCCCGGTATCAAAAAAAAAAAAAAACCAACATTTGGGAGCTGTAGTTCAGCAGTACATCATTTGCCTAGCATGTGCATGGCCCTGGGTTTGGTCCCCACTGCTGCAAAAAATAAACCAAATTAAACTGCAGAACAAAAACGTAAAACCGGACAATACTGTCTACAGTGGTCCCAACCTGGGATTAATGGGTTTTTTGTTATGTTTTGTTCCGGGAAGGAGTTGACAAGACCAGAAATTAAGAAGCCCGGTTAACTTTGTTTCCCAAACCTATTGGACCATGAAACACACACTTCCTGCCACTCCCTCCACCAGTAACCTTGGCGCTCTCCCTGGAGTCAGTGCCCTGAGGAACTCCCGGCTGACTTGTGCAGCTGGTGCTGAATCTAGGGTCACCGTATTGGGCACCGTCACATATTGACACATTTAATTCCACCCATAAACCAGGCACAATTTGCCCCTGAAAAATATGATTCTCTTAAACAAAGGTGGCCTCTACATCTCAGAAAATACACAAATATTTAAGAAATTAAATGACAGAAGTTTCTAAAATAAAATTGCCTATCTAAAGTGAAAGTTGAATTCAACAAGCCAAATGTGATAAGCCTTGGGGGGGGACCTAAAATTGGAAGATTTATCTCATTCAGCAATGTCTACCGTGAGCTTCTTTCATTGGCCCAACTCATTTATTCAACAACTTCTTTAAGCTTCGGTTTTCCTGTTCACCCTCCAGGTATATTATCCAGAGGGGCTCAGAAAGGAACACACACACACACACACACACACACACACACACACACACACACACGCAGTCAGTACATGACAACCCTTGAAAGATCAGATGTTAAAGATGGCTCTTTCTTTTAATTTTTATTTTGAGGCAGGGTCTCACTAAGTTGCTAAATTTCCCAAGCCAGGCTCAAACTTGCAATCCTCCTTCCTCAGCCTCCCAGAGTGCAGTGATTACAAGTGTGCACAACCACCGTGCCTGGTTTAAAGGTGGCTCTCTATGTCTTGGTCTGAATAGAGGTTGCAGTGGACCAAACCAAGACTACTGAGGACAGTTACTCCTACATGTCAACCAAAGGCATTCCCCTCCCAATATGAGATTTAAGGTAAAAAATAATTTCAGAACCCTTGGTAAACACTGACCTGGAGGGCAAAAGAGGAAGTGGTTGAAGGAGTTAGAAATGACGATCTCTCTGGAGAAAGTCATTGGTGTGCTGTGGCGTCTCTTTCAGCTGTTGAGACTCGGCTGGCTAGGAAGTGGAGTGCAGAGGAAGGGTAGAGAATCATACCCTTTCCTGCCCCAGGGATGATGGGAGGAGGACAGTGAGCAGAAGACTCTAGAGGTAGATACGCAGGTGTCAGGCCCATCTCCCCTCGGACTGGGGCAGGGGAAGGCCGGAGAGGGGAGCACAGTGAGGTCGGACGTGTGCGCCTGCAGGGTCCCAGCACACAGCACAAGGCTGAGCAGAACAGCAGGCTGAGCGCAGTGAGGTCCAGCGAGCAGCCCGGAGCCTCTCTCAGCTCCTGTCTGTGCGCGGGAGGAGTTCAGAGCTGGAGGCCGCACTGCATCTCCTGCCCGGGGCCAGTGGGAGGATCTGACTGGGACACCAGAAGGCCTACTGAGGGGAGAACAAGTCTGCAAGAGTGTCCTGCCATGTACCGTCGGAGCCAAGTAGGAATGGACCCACAGCCGCAGAAGCTGCTCCAGGTGCAGGGTGGCCTGAGGACAGCCCTGTCCTCAGCCAGCTCACATCCAAGGGCGAGCGCAAGAACCAAGGGCCTTGGAGTCTCACAGGTACCTCCCCACCCTAACCCCCTTCTCTGACTGGGAGAAAAGGCTGAGTGAACCTCAAGGGGCCATTTGCAAAGTCAGACCCATTAC